AGTAATTAATATTAATAAAACAATAAATAATCAGTATTTTGCAAAAGTTTAAACTACAGCAAACTCAGTCTAAAATATCAAGCATAACACTGTTAGTAAACAGTCAAAGGGTAATTAATTCTGGACAAAAAGTGAAGAAAAAAAAACTGTTAAAACTCAAAGCATCATGCATCCCCAGAAACCAGGTAAGTGCTTCGAAGAACACACTCTTTGTTACAATCCCCGGCAAGTGAAGAAATTTTATTATTATAAACAACTTAGTGAGTGAACGAGAAACAGCCAGCACAGCCCCAGTCAGATTAGTGCACGTATGAGCAAAGAGGAGGAGTGGGCAGTTTGTGTAAAGTCACGCCATGGGCAGGCAAACTGTATAAACCACCTTGTGACGTCTGATTCCGGGGTGGCTTGGAGGCTGGAGAAGCAGGGGAGATTACTATAGTAATCGGGGAGGAGGCGGAGCCACTGTCACTTTGTCCTGTGGGAGGGGCAGGGACAGACAGGTCGCTATTGGAAACACTCTCTCCCACGAGAAGGTGAGAGAGGTGGAAAAACGCAGCTGACAAGTGATTTCCATCCCTGTGGTGTTGCACAACCACCAACAAACTAACATGACTTGTTAAAGGTGAAGCGTGTCATTTTTGGGATGCTTGGGAAATAGTTTCTGCTATCCCAGTTCAAAACACTGTAGCTCTACTAAAAAAAAAAAATCAGCAACCAAAGGTTTAATTGGGGAGGGACTACCTGTTTTGCTGACCAATGGCATATGTGGGTTTCAGGAAACTGTGTGATAATCACATATGAGTCTAGTGGTGCACAAATTACATACTTCACCTTTAACAACAAATCAACGCAATCAGGATTGTCAAGAGATTTTGATTATTCATTGATTTATAAGTCGTAACACACTTGGGCAGACTGTAGGACAGTCAGTGAAAGAAGGCTGTTCAAGTTTTATAAAGAAAAGCTGTTGAACATATTATCAGGTGCTTCTGATGTTTTGGCATTTAAGAAAAGCACTCATACCATTTTTGTTGTCAGAGTCTGAAAGTCCACCCCAGGACCACCTCTTCTGTCTCTGCTCAACTCGCTGGCTGCGCTCCAGGGTACGTCTCATCACGGCCTCATAGTGCTCCTACACACACACACACACACACTTTGTTAGACAAATAATGTCATGATACATCCTGTGAGCTGTGCAGCAGTGGACCATGGAAAAGGTGTGGGTGTCAATACTAAAACAAAGTCCATGATTCCAGGCTATTTTGCATGTTAGGTACTGAACAGAACACACATGTCTCCTGCTGTACGACTGTAAGACTAACAAAATCACTTGTTACATTTCATCCATTTTCTCATAAAAGGGTGTTAATGATGAACCCTATTAAGAAGCAGGACGTTCAAATTAATTACACAGTCCATCTCTAAAAGTCAGTGAAGAGGCCAGTGAGACCAGCTGACTGTATGGACATGCCAAAACACACATTTCCAGAAAAAGACTGGGTGGTGGGTTGTCTAAACAACTAGTTAAGCTTAAGGGAGTACTGTATAATTAGGCTGGTTTAGGTTCAGACTTGGCATTTTGCATGGCTTTAAAATATATTCTGTGTGTAAAGGATTATACAGCCTTTATTTAGGAAAAGTCTCTAAAGGGTAAAAATATTAAAAAGAAAATTCAATATTGCCGCAGGAGGTTAATGTACACATTCAAAAGTTTTTGTGAAACTTGTGAAAGAAGTCTCTTATGCTGACAAAGGATACATTTTTTAATCAAACATTCAGTAAAAGTCAAATTGTTAAATATTACAGCAATTTAAAATAACTATTCTATTTGAAATTTAGATTTTTAAATCCAACTTCTTTCTGTGACGCAAAGCTGAATTTTCATTATTACTTACTCTAGTCTTCAGTGTCACACAATCTTTCAGAAATCATTCTAATATGCTGATCTGCTGCTCAAGAAACATGTCTTATTATTTTATTAATGTTGAAAACAGGTGTGCTGCTTTATATTTTTGTGAAAACCATGATACATTTTTTCAGGATTCTTTGATGACTATAAAGTCAAAAAGAACAGCATTTACTACGACAGAAATCTCGTCTAACAATGCATAACAGTCACTTTCGACCAATTTAATGAATTCTTGCTGAATAAATTTAATACTTTCAAAAGGTTCTGCTGTGGATTTCTCTGGTTTGGTGGTGGGCTGTGTTTTAGCCCCTACTCGAGAGAGGGAGGAGCTTCGCTTCTTCAGGATTGGGCCTACAGACAAAGTGGACAGGGAGGCGTTAAAATCATTCAGGAAGCAAGGCCTTGTCTGTGTCTAAGCTTACACATGCCACTTGCAGTGAATGAGGAAATGGATATTTTGATGAGAACAATGCAGCTAGACTCTGCTTTATAATCATGGTTGTATTTATAATAGTTTTCAGTTTAATTACAATGTGGAGGATTGCATTTGTAAATGTTTAAGAGGTGCATGTTGCCTGTGTAAGCTCCCTGCAAACACCTGTTTAAATGCTTATTTACATTAAAACTAGATTTTCAGAAAGATTCAGAATCTTTTATGAGACCTTGTGATTGTTCATCATTATTCTCAGAAATAAAGTTAAAGGGATAGTTTATCCAAAAAGAAAAAAATTATGTCACCATTTTACTCGCTGCTCTAAATCTATATGACTTCTTTGGAACACAAAAGAAGTTTTATGAGAATTATGAGATTATAATTATGATAATTATGAGAAATTGCTGATACTTTAATGGAGCTTATGTTCTTTTTTTAAGCTTGAAAGCTCCAGTCAGCAAATGAATGGGAAATAACAACTAGTGCATTATTCAAAACATTTCCTTTTGTGTTTCACAGAAGAAAATCATTCAGGTTGGGCACAACATGAGGGTGTGTAAATGAAGACAGAATTGTAATTTTTTTAACAATTCCTTCAAAAGAGGAGCAGCACTGGTAGTTTGGCACCTGTCTTTTCCACCTGAGGCTGCTTATGCACTTCTTTAGAGGCCTGAGGAACATTGCTAGGCAACCGGTTCAAAGACGAACTTCTCCGCTTTGCACCTGAGGGACAAAAAAGAGCTCAGCTCCTGAATCGAAAACAAAGGTTTCACTCAAGAGGGACTGAAGACAGACTTCAAAGATAAAACCAAGAACACAAAAGTGATCTAAAATCTACAACTTTTGTGGAACCACACTAAAATGTGCCTGCAGAGAAGGAAATGAAGAGGAGACTCCAACACAAACAGTGTCTGGTGTGAAACTGTCTGAGTCATGGCTGGCTACTCCTGTTAGAGGAAAAGGAAACTGTGGATAGAAACAGCATGTCTGCAAAAATCATGAGCTGCCAAGATGGCAAAAACACTTACGGCCCATTCAAATAAACACATGATCTGCTGCTCAAGAAACATGTCTTATTATTTTATTAATGTTGAAAACAGGTGTGCTGCTTTATATTTTTGTGAAAACCATGATACATTTTTTCAGGATTCTTTGATGACTATAAAGTCAAAAAAACACTTACGGCCCATTCAAATAAACACAATGCTGAATTTGCATTTAAATAACATTGTAAAATGAAACTCATCAAGCAAACCACAGGGAGAGGCACCTGTGTGAGACATGACTTGTGATTGGTTTCTGGATCACATGACCAGCATTAAAAAGCATTTACTCATGCTCAATGATCAAAAGAACTCATGCTGTATGGATAAGAAAAGGGCAGGAGAGGGCACTTACTTTTATCGGGAGAATTAAGGAGGGTGGCTGAGGATGAGGAGAGACGCTTGCTGATGACTGAGTCAGTCTGTTTCAGGTTCGTAGTAGAGGAAGAGCGCTTGTCTACGGGTGAGGGTAAATACGCACACAGAGACAGACAGGGAGTGGAATTAGAGTTACAGGGGTTTGCACGTGCTAAGCTATTGTTAATTACACTAATACAAGCTGGTTTATCTACATTTTAAAGACAGAGTAACAACTGCACATCAAAAAGTTAGCTAAACCTGAAATTGTGATAGCCTTATATGTCTGTTACATTCTAATAATATTTTAGAAAATATATTTAATAGTATTAATAAATAAATGTAATTATTTTATTAATGTTGAAAACAGGTGTGCTGCTTTATATTTTTGTGAAAACCATGATACATTTTTTCAGGATTCTTTGATGACTATAAAGTCAAAAAGAACAGCATTTACTACGACAGAAATCTCGTCTAACAATGCATAACAGTCACTTTCGACCAATTTAATGAATTCTTGCTGAATAAATTTAATACTTTCAAAAGGTTATGATCAGTAAGATATTTTTTAATGGTAGTTTGCTTCTCTGTGTTGGGTGGTAGTGTTCTACAAAAGGGAAGGTCTAAGGACCCTATAAAAACAGTTTACCTTTTCCTCCTCTAGTTTCTGTTTCCTTTTCTCCTCCACTGCAGCTCTCCTCTGTTCCTCTTTCCTGCGCTGCTCTTCCAGCTTCTTCTGCCTCTCCTCCATCTGTCTCTCCACCTGCAGCTGGGTCTTGCGCTCTCGCTCCAGGAGCTGAGTCTCACGGGCCGCTGAACAGGCCAAACAGGGTGCGTTAGCAGGTGTGATTGTATGATTTGTTGTAACTTAAGAGAATGAATTATGTCCAACTCTGTGCAGGGGTTGGCAAACTTTTTGACACAAAGGGTCATTTCTTTTATCACTTTGCGTCACATTGCCACTCAAAATGAATGCAGTATATATAATGGTTTTCAAAGGATGCTGAACTGTTTTGTAAACAGTGCTATTGTTCTCTTTGAGTTATGTGTTATTTCTCTTGCGCTTATCACCCGTGTGCCAATGATTGCCCTTCTGCAAGTCAATGGTCACATGCACATCTAAAGTTACCAACACCTGTTGTGTGAAATTTTTTGCTTTGTCACCATGTTGCTTTTCCTGCTCTTCTCTCCTCTCTTTGGCCACTCGGAGTTTGTCGTCTATCCTCATGGCTGCCCCATCAATGACTGAGGACACATAACAGAACACAATATCACAAACTAGTGTATCAGGTGAAATCTGAACACTTCCTGGGCCTTCAAAAGGCTCTCGGCAGATTGCACTAGTATCCATTGCGCAGATAATCCTTTTGCATGGTCTTACATAAGGCTCAGGTTACAGATTCAGCTATGAGCTCACCACACCTGATACAGTATTGACACTGAGTCATGGGCGTGAGTGAGGACATGCTACAGGAAGTGCTGCAATGGCCCTAATGAGTGTAGGGCGGTCATGTGACAGCATGTTACTCAATTAACCAAAGCAAGACTGCGGGAAAAACAAAACAATAATAAATAATAATAAAAAGGAAAACTGATTGTTTTAGCGCAAACCTGTTGTTTTTTTTAAAGAAAAACTGTTACCTTTTGAATCTGTGAAAAAATCTCTTAAAAGGGGTCATATGATGCGATTTCAATTTTTCCTTTCTCTTTGGAGTGTTACAAGCTCTTGGTGCATAAAGAAGATAAGCAGTCGAAAGCTGTGTATTTATTGCATGGAGGGAGCAGAAAAGTAAGCGTCTAAGCATACGCACAGTTCCATTGAATGATAAATGTGTTTTAACAATGTTGTTGAACCGAATGTACGAAGAAACTGTTAAAATAACCACAGCATTAACAACAACCTTGAAATAAGAGCGCAAGGTTTATCTGATAATACAGAAACTATGAAGTCTATTTTCTACCTTATTCTGTGCAGAAAATTGAAATAATTGTTTGTTGTATATAAAACAATCATAAAATTGCCATTAGGAAAAAATTATAGATTACAAATGATTGATTATTGTGCAGCAGTGTATTTGATTTCTTATAGCAAATTCAAAGCAATAGATAAGAAAAAAATTCCTTGTAAAACAAAAAAATAATAATAATTATAATAATACATACATACATAAAATTATTGTATTTGACATTTCTGTCACTTCAAAAATGATGGCTACGCCCCTGGTGTGACAAAATGTTAGCCTATACATAATACTTTTAAAGCTCTTTTTTAAAATCTTGGCTTGCATACATTTTTTATGTATGCCATGTCATGCCATAGCATCATTAAACTAGCATCTAACAATGGACAAAAGTGTTTGTTTGTTCTTTTTTCTCTAACCCATGGTTCTCTAACCATAAAGGCTGCTGTGTAATTTGCCCCCTGACTAAGCATTTAAAGAATTTAGGGGAAGCATTTAAATAATCCTGTGAATGCACTTAAAGAATGCAGAGTCGAATCGTTAATCGAATCGAATTTAATTGTGAATCGAATCGTTCTAAATTAGCAAAAATCGTTCTTGAATCAAAAACCTATGAATCGTGAATCGAATCGATTTGCTGTCTACCCAAAGATTCACAGCCCTA